TCCACAGGGGCAGCTCCTCTCCAGCCCCTCCCCCTCCTCAGACAACCCCAATAACCTGGGAACCCCCAGCCCTCCACAGGGGCAGCTCCTCTCCAGCCCCTCCCCCTCCTCAGACAACCCCAATAACCTGGGAACCCCCAGCCCTCCACAGGGGCAGCTCCTCTCCAGCCCCTCCCCCTCCTCAAACAACCCCAATAACCTGGGAACCCCCAGCCCTCCACAGGGGCACCCCCTCTCCAGCCCCTCCCGCTCCTCAAACAGCCCCAATAACCTGGGAACCCCCAGCCCTCCACAGGGGCAGCCCCAATAACTACCCCAGCCCCCACCTTTCGGTCAGGGGGAGATCCAGAACCTCCCCAGGGTGTCCCATATCCAGTTCCCCCCACTGGGCAAGCCAGCAGCCTGGGGACTGTGGAGATGACCTGCATGGGTGGTTTGCATGTGGGGGGCTGAAAACCAAGGCCGCACATTTCATTCGGGAGGGAGGATCCCTCCCCTATGTTAAATACCCCAGAGAAAATAACCCATTATCTCCCCTTGTCCGGGGTAGGTAGGACTAGCCATGGTTGTCTGGACAGCCCCCCCTCCATTGTTCCCGGCTTTGATTTTTATTTGTAATTAAGAATCTAGCTGCTAGGATGGCAAAGGAAAGCTTCGAAACACGACTGGAGGAGAACCAACATCTGCCTGAGTCTTCTGAGAGCCTGCGCCGATTGCTGGGAGAGGTGTGAACTGCCCCCAGTGTAACCGGTACGGCATACAAAGATCTTGAGACTTCAGCTTTGTGTGGGATCTTTATTACAAACACTCCCACACCCCACCCTCCGGCTACAAACGAATATTTGCTGCCTATCCAGGGAAGGGGAGTTAATAACTGAGTCACCCCCCTCCGTGCATCCCATATTCCTGGACTGACCTACCCTTAAAATCCTTCTCACCTCACTGGCCAAGACCAAAGAGGCAGGGAGGTCGGGTAGGGTGACCAGATGTCCCGATTTTATAGGGACAGTCCAGATATTTCGGGCTTTTTCTTATATAGATGCCAATTACCCCTCACCCCCGTCCCGATTTTTCAAACTTGCTATCTGGTCACCCTTGTCCGGGGTCACCAGAAATGTTGCAGCCTCACTTTCCAAAAACAAGTTAAATTGATAGTCACCATTTGTTTTTCTTTTAAAAAGACAGATCTCGAGCCATTAAAAATAAAGAAAAATAAAAAGAAAGATGATAATTTATATCAGGAGAAATTCTTGGTTTTTTTAGCACCAGAAGTGGCCGGCTCATGCCATCCTGTGGTGTGGAGTTCCCCAGGTGACGGTCCGGCATTCAGCACTTCCCGGAAGGACAGCGACCTGGAATAAAGAGAGACATGGGGTCAGAGCTTCAAGAGAGCGTCACAGCTCCAAGAGTGAGTGGAGGCTGGTGCATCTGTAAGGGATGCCCACATACAGAGTGATAGAAGGCCATTCCCTCTGGGAGTCCCTGCCTCCCCCACTTCACTAGAGAAGAGGGCATGGATTCTGCATGGGACATACCATCATATATCTTAACTGCTGCACCCCCCTTCCCTGAAATAACCCCCCTGAAATTCACACTGCTGTGACATTTGCAGCCACTTCCTGCCTCAAGCCCTTAGCCAAACTGCAGAGATTCGGCTCCTTTAGCCTATGCCCTCCCCCCAGAAAACCCCCTCCAAGACTCACACCTCTCCCCTATCTCTGAGATTCACACCCCACCGATACACATGCCTTCCCCAATTCTTACCTCTGTATCCATTCCCCAGAAAGCCGTTCAGGCCATACTTGGCCTCCTTGCCTCCTAAAAGGGGATGAGAGCAGATGAGAACCGGTCACAGGCCGTCCCGGTCTCTGCTGCCCAAAGGAGAATCGCTCTCCGTGGACAGCACTAGAGGGCATAGGACACACACGCAAGAGCAGTTTTGGTTGCATCATCAGACAATAGGATGCAATGTGAATCTCCCCCCCGCACACTCCTACCGTATGCTGTTGGGGTTAGTCCGTAGCCCCCGGGAGCTTGCCCTGCTGTGAGTGGCCCGTATGCCCCTGCAACAGAGACAAGAGTTAGCAGGGGGCGCTGAGGGGAGTGGGGCAGGAGCACTGGCTGTGGGGGAAGCTCCCGCTACTCCAGTCCCAGGGGGGGATGCTGGGGTCGGGGGGGATCTTACCAGCAGCCAGTCCGTTAGCCTGCAGGTCCCCTCCGTTCGTATATCCTGGTCCGTTCCCGTTGCCTGCAGTGGTGGAAGGAGGAAATTAGCACAGGGAAGGGGCTTTGAGCCCCTGGGGATGGGCACCCATGTGTCCAGACACAGGAGGAGAGCGGGCACCAATCTGGGCAGCCCCTGAGCATTTCTTACCATCCAGGGCACTGGGCCCAGCCAGTTGTGCCCCGTACATCAGCTGCCCCATGCCACCTGGAGGAGGAAACACAGTGGTGGCGGGAGATCAGCAGGAAAGCAGGAGATCCCACCAAGGGCTGGGAAGGAGAGTGGTGCTGAGACCCCAGGGAGCTTTTTCCTAGGACTCTGGGACCCCGGCGTCTGGGTGGCCCTCATCCACTGGGGGCAGGGATGGGAATGGATATCCCAGCAGGGCTGCTGCACGGTTTCCTGTCAGCACCCAGCCCGGGGGCACTGCAGGCCATAGGGGAAATGCCCGGGGTCTCCTGGTTAGTTTAGGCATGGCAGGGTTAGCGGGGGCCATTCTGGCACCCCACCCCACATCTCTGCACAGGGTGCGGGGGCTAAGATATTGGGCAGCCTAGCACAGACCCCTGTGCCCCAAATAACACTCCTGGAGGGGTGACTGCCCCCTACAATCTCCTCTATAACAACCCTCTGGACAAGTTTCACCCCCCATACGAGCCCAGAGTCCCTACCCACACCTACCGTATTTCCCAGCGCTGTAGTCTCCCCCTAGACCGGTGGGCATGGCCTGTTGGGGCTGCCCATTATATGGGAGCTGGCCCAGGCCTGCAACATAGACAGAGTGTCAGGATGGGGGGATAACTCCCCTTTGTGTCCCCCTTGAGCCAGCCAGTTCCCCACACTGGGGCTGGATTGGAGCAAAAGGCCCCATGGCCCATTTCCTATCCCCCCAAACCGGGCAGTCCCCTGCCCTGCGGTCAGGACTCACCAAATTTAGCAGCCGAGAGATCTGTGCTAGGGCCAGCGAAACGCCCTAAGTATGCGGCCTGGGCACCTGGGGATGGGATAATATAAGGCAGTTAGCTTGGCCAGTGCCCCTCACTCCCGACCCGCAGCCCCCTGCTAGCCCAGCCCTGTCCCCCCCCCAGCTCTGCCAGTGCCCCTCAATCCTATCCCTCTGTCATTGGACACACCGTTGCCGTATCCTGACTGGACTCCGGCTCCAGGGTGACTGTTCCCTCCTGCACTGTAGCCTAGAAGATAGATGGGAGATCAGCCAGGCTCAGCCTGGGTGTGTGGGTGAAGGGGGTATATTTTGGGGTATATCCCCTTACCATTCCCATAGCCGGGCTGTGCTCCGTTGACTAGGTACCCACCGCCTACTCCGGGATAGCCTACAGAGCCAAGAGAATCCAGATCAGCCACAAATTGGGGTGCACTGCTCCAGTCCCGGCCTCTCGCAGCAGGGGGCGCTGTGGGGAGTGGGGGCAGGGTGCTGGCTGTGTGGGGAGCAGCCTCTCTATTCCAGCCCCGGCCTTAGCTTATGCCCCTTACCTTGTTGAGCTGTGGGGTAGCTGCCAGCTCTGGGTCCTGCCCCAAAACCTGTGGGGAGGAGAACCCAGAATGAGATCAACCCAGACCCTGAAGAATCTGGCTTCCACACTGTGGGCTCTGGCATTTGGGGGTGGGATCATGGGGGGCGGAGAGGGATAGAGTAATGGGGGGGGGTTGGTTAGCAGGGGGTTGGGACCTGTGGGGGGAGGGCTTTCAACCCCTTCAGGGCCCCCACAGCCCAGTGAGCCCTTCTCCCCCCAGGGAGTTGGAGGGTGCTCTCCTCAAGGTGTCATTGGTGTGAGTGGTGGGATCTCCAGTGAGAAAAGAAACAGGTGGTGGGGGATGGGGAAGAGGACACAGGACGGGGCGCACATCAAGAGGGATGGAGACACTGCAGGGGACACCAATGGGGGGTGCATGGGAGGGATTCCCTGCTTTGGAGGCTTTGCCAGCCACCCCAAGGCCTGTTGGGAAGGAAAAGCAGAGGGGTCAGGGTGCGTGGGGGTGGGGGGCGTGTAGTGGAGGGCCAGGCACTGAT